TCAGCGACCAGCACAGATCAGCTCCAGGCATGACGAAGCGGATATCGTCCTCTTTTGGAAGACCAAACAAAGTAGTTTCGCTTTCACAACGAAGCACACAGCGTCTTCACGACATGGCGGCAGCAACAATACTACAGCGAGAATAAAAGTTACACCTTCTTTCTTTGCGTGAACATTTGGGCGGCGTTATGCAAATCTTCCCGCACAGTGACGTAGATATGTGGGGGTGTGTTAGAACGAGGCGTTTTAGGTAGGCATGGTTAACTCTTAAATTTTATAAAGAATATCTCTTTGGTTTTGAGACTTTAGTGTTTGCAACTTTACAGATCTTCTTTATGCACCAAGAGCTTGTAACACTGCAAAGAGAAAGAAAAAATTGAAATCGCATCATATGACCCCTTTAATAAATTGTAAAATGTAGTTCAGTGTCACATAGCTATTTCTTCACAAATCACTCTATATGCTGATTTGGTGCTCAGAAAATATTTCTTATTATTAATGTTGATATATTTGTGGAAGCCATGATGCGGTTTTATTTTTATTTTCATGAGTATTCAAAATAAATAAATAATTTAAAATAAATAAATAATATGTTTTTTAATATATATATTTTTTGTAACAATGTAAAGGCCTGTACAGTAACTCTTATTCAATTTAACACATCTTTTTTGGATAAAATAATTAATTTCACTATTAAAAAATAAATAAATAAATAAATAAATCCTACTTGACCCTAAACTTTTGAATGGTAGTTTTCCCACGAGCATTTTCATTGTTACGATTTGTTTACTTTTCATTGGTCACCTAGAAATTGCAGAATATTCAGAATATTAATTGTTGTTTATTATAACATTTATTTGTTTAAAATAATAAAACATGTTAATTTAATTACTTTTTAGAAGTTATTTAAATGCCCCCAATACTTTGTGGCCACTGTATAAAACAACAACAATAGTAATAATAATAATAATAATAATAATAGAAGTAGTTATTGTAAATACTGTAAATCTGTCGCTCCACCGCTGCATGTGACGCCACGGCTGGGCGGGGCTTGTTTTCAAACCCAGACGCAGGCTCACAGCAATAAAGATGGCGGCGCTGGGGTCCGCCAAATCCGCTGGAGGCGGGCAGAGAAGCGCTCCTCTGAGTCTGGAGGAGGCCCGGTGCCCGGTGTGCTCCGAGATCCTGCTGGAGCCGGTGACGATGCCCTGTGGACACTCGGTGTGCCTGCACTGCTTCCAGCGCACGGAGAAGCTGACCAGCCTGTGCTGTCCGCTGTGCCGGCGGCGGGTGTCCAGCTGGGCCCGGAGACAGTCCCGGGAGAAGAGCCTGGTGAACGCCGAGCTCTGGGAGCTGGTCCGCCGCAGCCACCCGGAGAGATGCAGGCGGAGGCTGGAGCAGAGAGACGGACAGACCGCCGACGGAGGTTCGTGGGGCTCGGCAGATTACATAATCATGAGTTTGAAGCCATTATTTACGCTTCGACAAATCGCGGCACGACAGTTTTCCAGCTTCGCTGATTTCAGTTCAGTCGATACGTTTGAATTGTTAGAAATAAACCTAAAACATTTTATTTATTTTATAAATGTACTATTTTTGCACTGGACAACGTAACAACGTAAAGTAAAAAAAAAACAAGTAGGTTTGTTAAAAACTGGAGTCTGGAAGGAAACCAGCGCTGTTTTGTTGTGGGGCGTTCACACATGACGCGTCTCTCCCGCGTTGCGTTTTCAACTCAAAAAGTCCCTGCGTCCCAATGTTAGGGATGGGCGAGACCCCTTATACTGCTTTCCATACGATACCGATATTTTTCAAGGCAGTATCGTCGATATCGATACCGATTCGATACTTCTGCACTAAACATTTACATTATGAAATGTATTAAATTACTGAGAGTAAAATGGGTAATGAAAACCACTCTTTCAAGGCAGTATCGTCGATATCGATACCGATTCGATACTTCTGCTACTCTGGGTAATGAAAACCACTCAACTTTGTTTAAAATGCATTTTAACCCGTTTAATCCCAAATTTTTCCCAGACATGAAAACATCCAAATCATGATGTGTCATTAGTAACACTTTGAAATAATCAAAAGTGGGGGGGTGAACATTTTTATTTTATGGTCTGTCACAATTGTAACCGGTGGGATAATGTGTATACTGAATTAACACATTTCTGCAGTCTTAAAAATTGTTATATATCTTAGCCCAGCTATTTTAAACGGTTTGATCACATTCTAGGGTTACTATTATGCATAAAAAACCCTTATACAACACTGATAGGAATACTGAGATCAAATACAACCATCAACGTGTTTCAAAATTGTTACTTTTTTGTAACACATATCATCACATTTTTATATTACCGATATTTTTCAAGGCAGTATCGTCGATATCGATACCGATTCGATACTTCTGCTACTCTGGGTAATGAAAACCACTCAACTTTGTTTAAAATGCATTTTAACCCGTTTAATCCCAAATTTTTCCCAGACATGAAAACATCCAAATCATGATGTGTCATTAGTAACGCTTTGAAATAATCATGTTTATTTTATGGTCTGTCACAATTGTAACCGGTGGGATAATGTGTATACTGAATTAACACATTTCTGCAGTCTTAAAAATTGTTATATATCTTAGCCCAGCTATTTTAAACGGTTTGATCACATTCTAGGGTTACTATTATGCATAAAAAACCCTTATACAACACTGATAGGAATACTGAGATCAAATACAACCATCAACGTGTTTCAAAATTGTTACTTTTTTGTAACACATATCATCACATTTTTATATTAGTGCTACCAGTATTACAACATTAATATTCTAACTTATTTGTAACATTTGAACTTTTGATTTAGTGCAATGTGTTGTACTGCCATCAGGGACTGCCAGTGACCGGCTGTTGCACGCATAAAATGCAACCTTTTTATTCTGACAGTGTATGATTTCTATTAACATTACAGAATAGGACATGATCAATATTATCTTTCAACGTTCAATTTAAATAACTGTAATTGCACAAACTATCTAGGCTACAATTTCAGTTTGTTTATTGTGAAATAACTCAAACATTTATGGGGTTTTTTCTGTCCTCTGATAAGCATTGTTCAGGGCTGCCATTCCCAAAAGCTTGAATGCTTTCTTATGATACTTTTGGGAAACGCAGCCCAGTTTGAATGCTCTGTCAGCAGTGAGTGAACGCTCTCTGTGATGGATTGGTTCTGTCTTGCAACATTTGCGTGTTCAGATGAGCAGGAAAATGGTTCTATTACAATAACTCGCTAACAAAGGTTATCCGTCCAATTCAATGCATATTGTATGCATTATTATTATTATTATTATTATTTTTGTTAAATAAACAAAACCACTGGTAAATAAAACGCACCTTAGTATCGATACTTTCGATACTCACGTCAGTATCGATATATCGATACTTTGGATAGATACATTATTATTATTATTTTTGTTAAATAAACAAAACCACTGGTAAATAAAACGCACCTTAGTATCGATACTTTTGATACTCACGTCAGTATCGATATATTGATACTTTGGATAGATACGCCCATCTCTACCCAGTGTGCAAACTATCCACCCTATCTGCCCTAAATAGTATACGAAATTACTAATATCACATAGAATTTAGGATGAATAGTGTGCACATTGGGACGCAGAGTACTCTGTTGTATTCCGCTGGCTGCTAAACACAATTTAGACCAATTTAAAGGCTTGTTTTGCCAAAAAAAAAACGTTAAACATAAGTGTTGGAGTATGTACATTTGGTTATGGCGCTTTGCTGATTTTATGTCAAACTGTTCAGCATTCTGTTTTCGAAGGCAAGAACGTCAAAGGAACAAACACTCTAGTTTGGTAAAACCGGATCAAATCATGTAATATGAACAAAGTACTTAAAAGTTGTTGTTTTTTTATGTTTATTTTACTTTTAGCTTTCTGTATGTTTCGTGCTCGCATCTGACTTGCTATACTTTAAAGATTTATAGTCAGTGTTGGGGAAAGTTACTTTTAAAAGTAATGCATTACAATATTGCGTTACTCCATAAAAAAAGTAACTAATTACGTTACTTAGTTACTTTTTATGGAAATTGATGCGTTACTTTGTAAATCTGGACAGGGCTTGCTTGTTTGTTTTTAAAATGAAAAAAGTTATATTTTGGGCAAATATAAAAGCCTTTTCACACCAAACGTGAAATGAATAAGCCTCAGGCTGAAGGGAAAGCACATTTACGTCCGTACAGTAGAATGCAGAAGAAGACATTTCAACACACTTCAGAAATAAAAAAAGACACAAATGTTTGTCTAGAGTAATTTGTGCTTATTAGTACGCTTGAACTGGATCATCGAAGGTCAGAAGCAAAGACATTGGTTAATAGAATGGGATTAAATACATAAAGAATATTTGTGTCGTTTAACATTTAATTATTGCAGGGTTGCGTCATATTCTGAGTTGCATTATTTTTATTCATTTTGAGGAATACTGAATCTGTGTTTTTTGTTTTTTTTTTGTGAGTGAGATGAATTAATGCATATTCATATTTATTTTAGAACTACAGTAACATCTGATTTCTCTCAACATGGCGACAGGAGAGCCGTCAATCAATAAATTGGAAAAAAAAAAGTAACTTGCGTTACTCATTTGAAAAAGTAACTCAGATATTCTCTTGTAAATTAAAAAGTAATGCGTTACTTTACTAGTTACTTGAAAAAGTAATCTGATTACGTAACTCGCGTTACTTGTAATGCGTTACCCCCAACACTGCTTCTAGTATCCTGGTTGTTTGTGAACTTGATCAGTTGTGGTGACTTGTCCAGGCATGTGTGTGTCCAGTGGGTGGAGCTAGTGACAGAACTGAGCTTGTAGAGAGCATCCAGTGTGTTTATTGTAGTCTGGTCCATCTAGTGAGCCAGTTGGCTATTTTTGCTGATATAGCCTATTTATGCTTTCATTTCTTAGAAGTGTTTCGTGCACCTGTACCAATTCATAAATCTGGAGAAATGCGTCAAGAGTACGAGAAACTAAAGATGAAGGTAAGCTACCGAGTAAAGTCAGTACACTCTTCATTGCAGTTTCCTCACATTAACTTATTTAAAAACTTACAACCAAATAAACATATAGTTGTACAATGTTTTTGGTAATATGTGCTATGATATTAACATTTAATAAAATTCCTGAACTATTCCAACAAGGTGGAAACATCCACAAACGTCTTTTGTACCGGCTGTAAAGAATAGCCTGCACTTATTTGACATTTGGTAAAATGCAAAGCACTTCTGATTTCTAATAAGCTTGTTTTATTATATTTTCTCGTTATAGCCTGAAATACAGTAATAGTCATATATAAAGCTCAGTGTTATCTCTTTAGGGTGGAAGCAGTGAAGAAACCGAAGAGAGAAAGAAAAAGATCCACAGAAAAGAAGAGTGTGGGATGCTGAAACTCTGTCAGTATCCTGTACGTTCAAAACTCTTCTTTCTATCATTGTTACCTACTTGGGTCTAAGCAGGGTTTAAACACGCATGCATTCAGTTAATTCACATACTTCATAATTTGGGATATTTCTTTTAAGAAAGGAATAGTTTACCCAAAAATGAAATTTGTCATCATTTACTCACCCTCATGTCATTCCAAACCTCCCAATTTTTTTTCTTATGTTGAACACAAAAGAAGATATTTGAAGAACCAAACAGTTGTTGGTCCCCATTGACTTCCATAGTAGGGAAAGACATACTGTGGAGTCAATGGGGACCATCAACGTTTGATTACCAGCATTCTTCTAAATCTCTTTTATGTTCAACATATGAAAGTAACTCATGCGGGTTTAGAACGACATGAGGATAAAGTAAATGATGGCAGAATTTTCATTTTTGCTGTGAACTATCCTTTTAACTGTTTAGTTTCTGCTCAATTATGTATGACCATCCATTTCACACAGTAGTTTACTGGGTTTCAGTTCTGTGGGGTGTCAGACTCTGAGAATGAAGAGCCGGTGGGAAAGAGGACCAGACATGTCTCAGCATTTGTGCGAAAAACAAGATGCTCCCCTGCTTTCAATAGAGGGTAATGCACTTATATTTACTTTTGAATTTGACATGATCATTTTCTGATCTTTTTTTAAATATACTTATTATTAGTGGTCAAAGTGTATGTTTTTTATTTTTATTTTTATTGTCTCTAGAGTGGAGGGCCTGACATAATGGGATACACTACTATGCAAAAAAAATAAATAATAATAATAGTTTATGACATTTTAGGATAACAGTCATCAGAACTATAACACATAGAGGAATATAAATTATGTAAAGTGTCAAGCAAATCAAAATTATAATATGTTAGAAGTTATTCAGAGATGCCGTTTGTCTAGACTGCAGCCATGCACTTATTAAACATATTAACATTCACTCAAAATTCACAAAAAACGAGACAGTTATTTTAAAATTAAATGCCTTTATAGTGAGATAACTGCCACAAACAGGAACTACCACAACTAGTAAAAAAAAAATGAGCCTAGATAAGAGACACCACTGGCGGGGCATCCACACCTCATCCTCGTCACTCGTACTTCAAACAAAACCAGAGAGGTCCATTAGCCCTGAGAGCAACGATAGCATATCGGAAGAACTCAACCATTTCAAGCCTATTGTCTGCTCGCCGTGCACTCCACCCAAAAGGTTGCCCGATGGGCGACTTTTGGAGCCTACGATCGTGAAGTCAACCCCAAGGAACTTGACACACACTCTGCAAAAGTCCACAAGCTATGAGGCCAGCCCGACCATCTTGCAGAAGTGGAAGCAGATTGAAGTTGATCGTCAGTGCATCAAGGTGACCTCAAAAGGTACAGTCACGAGTCCGATCGCAGAGGATCTAAGCCTTAAACTGAGTCCCGTTGAAGAACAGGACCGCCGACTCTGCAGCTGTGCTGTAGCCAAGGACAGCTCGCAAGATCATCAGTGCATTTGTGATTCAAGTGCTAAGGATCAGAAGGATAAACCTGTAGTCTGTAATAAACTACGGCTTGTATTTGATCAGTGTAGCAAACAGGAAGGTACACAGCCTGCTAGCGCTCACATCAGGTCAACAACTCAAACCATTGCAGATACTTTATCCGCAAAAAGGCGTAGCAGATGTGAAGAACTCTGCGAACCCACAGAATTTTGTGAAGCAATGCTTGATAAACACGCTGGACACTGTAAACAGGGTACGAAAGACCCCGAGAACTTTGTAAATGAGCCTACCACCAGGAGCTGTGTACTTAACAGACCTACCTCAAGAAGGGGCAAGAAGAGAAGCCACAAAACCAAACATTTGGAAAATACCCTACAGACAAAAATGTCCCGGACAGGTGCCTATGACAGGATTGATGATATGATTGTCCAGCGAATGAATCGGGATAAGGAGGACCAAGAACTGGCACAAAAGCTACAAAGACAGTTTGACAGAGAATGTCAAAAAGTGGACAGGCACAAAATGAGTCGTGACAAATACGAACTCCGGTCCTGGGCTACAAATGATGGGACGGCAGGACACAATACACGCAGATCAGGAAGAATCTCCAAAAGAAATGAGCACTTTAACTACAGCTGTTAAAGGGACCTCCGGTTATGGTAGTGTTTTATTGTAATGATTTGTTACAGTCACAAGCATTTTTCTTTGTTGAGGCACTACAGAGGCTTTCTAATATCTGGATTAATATTGCAAGATAAGGCATTTACGTTTTTGACTTTTCATCCAAAGCAACTTGCATTAATTGTGTCCACCTTGATCAGAGGTGGCCAATCCTGTTCCTGGAGATCTTAAAAAGTTCAGCTTAAACCCTGATCAAACTCAACTGAACCAGCTAATTAAGATCTTCAGGAGCATTTGATAATTACAGACAGTTGTGTTGGATCTGAACTCTGCAGGTTGATCTCCAGGAACAGGAATGGGCACCCCTGACCTAGAGCAAGCTGGGGTTAAGTGCCTTAGCTTGGGGCAAAATGGTGGTAGGACAAGTTTGGACTCTCAGCAACTTTCCCATTTATGGGGATCTGGATTTGAAGCTGCAATGTTTTGTTTCAAGCTCTGTTACTGTTTAACTGGCTTCTACTACTCAAAAAGAGAGGAAACCATGTATATGTTGTTCGGGGGAAGAAAAATGTACAGAATTATTTATACGGCTTTTTAGTACTTCAATCCAGTGATGACAGTACTCCTTACAATCCCTTTGTGCTCATCACAATCACAATTGCTCCTCAAGAAGTTTGTTTGCATGTTTAACGGTTATTATAGGACATTTGTTGAACCTGAAGGTGTTTCGTACAAAATTGTAGCATAACACCTTTTATTTTGCGTTACCTGTTTCCAGTGTCTTTGAAAGATTTCTCTTGACACCTCCATCTATCAGACAACTCTTTTGTTAACAATTTACGTGGAAACGAGTAAAAATTGTAGCCTTAGGCTAGAAAACTACTCGACACGAGTACATGGATGCAAATGCTTGCTCAACAATTTGCAAGACCGCAGTCTTGTTGTACGTAACCTGTTTACTTCGTTCTTGTTTTACTGTGGTGGAAACAAACCTCAGTATTCAAGGCAGGGATAGAATTGCCTTCAAATGTTTCTGCCATTAACCAAAATGTATTTTTAGTTCTCCCTGTGTGATATGGTTATGAGATAGCAGCAACTTGAGTTTAAAAGAGTACAATAGTTTTATCTATCATGACTCTGGAGAAAAATGGAGCAGATGCTGGACAAAGATGAAGCTTTCTAGAACGCATGTGTCGACCACCTGCGTTCGCAGACTTCGCGTGCGCTATCAAATGGAGTATACTTTGAAAGGCGTATGCGTACAAAAAAGTGTACTTTGGAATTAAAGTCCCCATGAAATCAAAATTAAAGTTTTTTTTGGGTGTTCGTATCAATATGTTAGTCTTAAATTTATCTATAAGGCATTGTGCTCCAAAACGGTAACAAAATTCACATTTATAAGATATATATATATAAGATATCGTCACTTCTGCCAAAACGGCTCAACGATTTTTTGACGTCACATCGTACTTCATCTTCTCATTAAATCTTCTGACCAATCAAATGCTCTCTAGAATCCGAAGCGCCCGCCCCCTGCACTATAAATAGACGCTGAAGCGGATCGGTCACTTGTTCACAGTGTAGTATTTCCTGTACAGTGAATGGCTCGAAGTGCACAATGTAGGTGATGGGGAACGATTCAGACAGTGTAAATATGCTTTCGATTGGTGCAAATGAAGTCTGGTTTCGCGTTGTTTTACGCGAACCATGGCAGCGCACACAGTCTGATCCGGATTTTGGCTCCGGTCCAGAGATGCGATCGCACGGAGCGGATCATATGCGCGAGTCGGCATATATTAAAAACGTTTACAGCTACACTGCCTCAGTAAAACAAAAGTGGTCATAATCATTCTAAGAGTTTCATATTGAATCTATATTCAATATGAAACTCTATATAGAGTATAGATAATCTATTAGACTGTGGCTGTCAAATGCGGCTTTTTACCGAGCTCAATGGCTCTGGCCCGAGCAGATATAAACAAAACGCTATTGGCTATTTTAAAAAGGGGGCGGGGCTGCTCAATATGTCGCGCCCTCTCTTCCTGTTTCAGTTGAAATTACGTCACCACATAGAATAATGCTGTGTGTATCAAGGCATTTCAGGGGACCTTTAAGGCAGATTCTTCTCATTAATTTGGTTATCTGGCTATTTATATGGCATCTGAAAACAGTAATTGGCTATTATACTTAACTCCAATAGCAATTTAGTTACATCAAGGCAATAATTGATTGGTTTACGAGGGACACCATGATCCAAGTTGACCATTAAGTTTTTTTTTTGGCTGTGAAGGTTGGTATCACCCTGTACAGTAAGATCTGTGGTTAAGGAGTGTGCGTTGATGTAGGCTATTTACAAAATAGGTGAAGTAAAAAAAAAAAACTCGAAGGAGGCGGCAAGTAGTTCACCATATAAAATCCATTGAAGATCATAGATAACTGTTTATTCCTGTGCCTGCTAGCACCCCTTGTGGCAGTGATAAGAATTGCAGGCAGTACACATTTTGTTACACATTTCGAGTAAAATCAAACTTGAGTAGCAAAAGTTTGCATTTGCATATTTGTGTAGAGTATGTTTTAAGCCTAACTGTGCTTCTTACACTATTAAATAAAATATCTATAAAGTGGTTTTTAAAACGCTAAAAGGCATTGTGTAACAGTGTTGACACGAGTTCATATTTCTAAAGAAATCTGATTGTTATTTTTATTTTCTTTTTTTAAACCTACTTTTTTCGTTTTCTATTTTAAGTGTTTTGACACTCTCCAAACTGTAATCTACATTTGGACACTTCTTCAAAAGATCCACAACACCACATCAACAAAAAAAAAAAACTAGAATGCTCAAAGCAAATTCTCATACTTGTTTTTCTTGTGTAAGACATTGGTTTTCTGTCATTGTATTTTTTGTAGTTTATCCATATTTCACTTTTAGCTTGATGTTCACACTACTCTGAAGGGCTGCTTTCATTTCAGAACTTTATCTATTATGCTTTGATTACTAGAGAGATCTATTTTGTGACTTGTGTCTGCCAAGAAAGCTTTAATGTTACTTTTGCTGAAAAATGACACATTCAGTTGGACCACATGTAAATTCACATACATTTAATCCTGTCTATCTTGATCTTTTTTTTTTTTCAAATTCCAAACAGATTCATTTCTATACTGTATACTTCTTTGTAATGTGCCAACATGTCTGATTTCTGCAAATCGGGCAATCTTTCCTTTGTTTTTTTGTTTCTGTAATTTAAGTTATATACAATTCTGTAGGCTACCAGATGTACTATTGGAGAAGATAAAATAGATTTTTATGCATTACTGTACTATTTTGGAAATATGACTTGCCTATATTGATACTGATGTAAATAGGAACTGTTTCTGATGGGCTTTCAAAGCACTTGGATTGTCTTCCATTGTTGAAAGTTATTGCTGGATTTGAAAGAGAATGTTGCATATGTTTGGATTCTGTGGAGAAGTAAAGCACATTATATTTATTTGAACAGTACTTTGTAATAATGTTATCTTTTTAAATATTGCATTTAAAAAAACAGGATTTTCTTGTTTCTGTCAACACTAGCACAAACACTATGATCATTATAACTGACTTGACGGGAATGAAATAATGTAGCATTCATTCAGAATTTACAAAAGTTTTGTTTTCAAAAGTATTTAAAGATTTTTGTTTTGTTTTTATTACACAACTTATTAGATGCTCAGGAGGGTTTTATATCTATACAGTGGGTACGGAAAGTATTCA